TTTGGTTGCCTAGATGAAGATCAAAGGGCCTTCAACTTAAAGCGAAATAACTAAGTCAAATATAAAATTTTAATTTATGTATTTATCTGACCTCTCCTATATCAATCACATACATACACAAGCAAATACACAGACAGACAGACATGCATGCATGCACGCACACACACACACACAACAAGTGCATATGTGAAGAGTGAAAGAGCGAGGAAAAGAAGAGGATAAGAAGAATGCTTCATTCGAGTATGAATCGAAATACCCCTCTCCAGCAAAGGTAGAACTCGAACCTGGCGGAAGTCGTATGAACTGACTGAGAAATAATGGATTATGAATGCAAAGATCGTTGGAAAGAGCTGGCAGACATTTTGGTTGGTACAGGAGCCGGTGGGTAATTAATCGCTGGACTGAGTGATTTATGCAAATGAAATGCAAAGCCTGCACCAGTCACAAGATATTGGTTTCATTCTGTCTAATTGTTGTCAATTCTCGCTTTTCTCAACCTATCCTTTAACAAATCATCCTATTTCACTCGCTCACGAGCCGATTTATATGCACCAACACAAGGACATAATGAGCACATCTTGCAAGCACGTATTTATGTTTATTTGCACTCATTTTAAAGGCCATCCAATTGTTTGCCAGCCATTTCCTCACAAGATGCAGTCCAGTCAGATCTCAGCATCAACTCGATCTCTTCGCTGTCCTCCGGCCGGACAGAACCGTCCGACTAGCCTCGATTCACCCAGACCAACATGCTCTGGCCTGTACCTTTGCATGTGATCAGGCTGCCACACCTGTGACATGGTCCAAGGAAATAGATCAAGAAAATATTGTAAAGCCAGCAAACAACCCGTCCACTATGCTATATTGTGATGGCGTTTATCTGCCATGAAAAGTGCTTACGACTAAAAGGTTATTCTTCTCAAAAAACTAGGTCCGATATCCATTGCCATTTTGTTGCTTGACTATACCACAAAGTTCAGGTTGACGCAGTCCACAAGATATCCTATCTCAGTTCCGGTGAAAAGGGGCTCAGCTCTCCTCTGTCATGTCAATGGACAGACATCATCAGAGCAAAATCACACTCCTAAAAATCCCCCAAAGACTATCTGGTTTCACCTCATATTAATAAATATCAATACATAAACATGACTGTAAATATATATAGTTTAATTTAATAAATAAAAATAAATAAATAAATAAATACATACCTATATATATATATATATAATGATGGGTTATGAAATACTATATACTACTATATGTATGCGTAAATAATGATTTTCTTTGTTTTATGCTTCTCCCTGTACATCTAGAGTTAATTGTGTGTGCATTTCCATGCGTTTTTACGCGTATTAGTAAGTCAGTGTGCTAAACCACTATTCATAATTCTGATCAATTATATTAAAAGGAAACACCAGTCTAATATCTTCAAGGTTGAATAACACATGGAAAGGCAATACTGCGATTGTGTACTCCCAAACCTAAGCATGCTTGAGACCTCGGAAAAGGCTCAATGAATCTGAGTTGTGCAGAATAAATCAACCGGAAAACATGCTCTTCCGATGCTCATCCTAGATGCCCCCAAATATGTGGTCTCCTCACATTGACTGGACTACAGCCACAGCCTCAGCTCAACTCAGCCTTCTCAACTGTCCCGATTGTTGGGTCGTCATGCGATACCGCCAAGTGACAACCGGCTTTTGTGCGAATGATCACGTTACTGACCTCGAGGGTACAGGGAAACAATGGCTAAGGACTGAGTATAGAAATGGTATCAGTTGGGCTACCTGACGCTCGAAGACGCAGCGTATTGTGGTGGTCTGCCAGTTGGACATGGCTCTGAACCGGCTGATCATCTGTTTCAGTCTTATGTTGCGCTGATGCAGGACGTTGACTTCACGCGAAAGACGCAGATTCCGATCGGCCAGTTCGTCTTCTGCTCGTGCGTTCAATCAAGCCATCGGATGGACAAAAGATGGGAAGATGCGAGAATGAACGAAACGATGAATAGCAAAAGCATAGACTACAAATAGGCTATTTTTTCACG